ATTTATTTATGTTATTGAGAGATTGAAATTTTCATTTAATGAAATACCAGATGTCCCCTTATTCTCTAGACCTGTATGGACATGAAACATGATTAATTAATGTGCTATTTGCAAGACCATGATATCAAGAAGAATATTGTCAGTATCGTTAGTCAAACAAGTCTTGCTTATTTGGCTTAAGAATTTAAATCTATTTGTCTCTGCCTAATCAAGCAGTTGTATTATTGAAGTCCTCTTTATCCTTGTTTTTGATTGATTGATTTAAAAATTTGTGAGAGTGATTTGGGCAATCTACTTCTGTAGTGATACCGCCTTGGAAACCCAAGAGGGGTCGCTATGAGTCAGGTTCCACTCGACGGCAGTGTGTTTGTTTTTTTTGTGTGTGTGTTAAAAAATAGTAGAATATCTAGTAGTATTTCTGCCTCCTTAAAAATTAATTCTTTTTAAGTTCTATCTCCTTTTCTCTATTCTCATATGTGATGATCATCTGGTATTTTAATTAGAGCATGTTTTAATGTCTTGTTTAAAAAATAACCAATTTAGATCAACTCTTCCCCTTTTCCTCATCACTCCTTCATTTTCATTCCAATATGTGTTTCAGGGTATACATTTCTTCTTGCTGATGTACATTATTTAGTATTTACACTGAATGCCTGTGGAACTAAAACTTTGTCTTTCTATATGTCTGAAAATATCATGATCTTTCTGACAAATTGTTTGGCTAGGTATGTAATTTAGGTTTTAAGTCGTTTTTTCTTTCTTTTAAGTTACTAATATTTCTGAGCCTCCAGATCTTTACCTATAAAATGGGAATAGAATTCTCAAGGGTGGTGAGGATAACTGAGATAATGCAAGTAGAGCTTATCAACCATGGTGCTTAGCAGATCTGAAGCAGTCTATAACTGGGACCTATTATTATCATTATTATAATATCTAGAGTGCATTCTGGGAGATTGACCTTGCTTAAGACTGAGAATGTGAAGCTCACACCAAATACCCTTGAACAGCGCCAAGGTTAACTTAGCCATTGGGTAACTTCAGCTGTGGTGGTCTGAAAAACGTGTAGAGATAATACAGTCTTCCAGCCAACCCAGGTCATGCTAGCCCAACTTGGAGGCTTTGGGCTGCTCACTGGGGAGCTTCTACTGTAACTATAGTTGGATTCAGTGCAGAGAAAGATGAAAGGAAGACTGACTTTCTTTTCCCTCAGATTCTTTCTTCCTCTACCCCCCTGAGTTTTATCCATTTTTGCAGACACTGTCATTATACAGCCTTGATATTACTCTGGGACTTAGGCTTCCCAGATATGTAGCCATTTCAGTTCCCAAATTCCAAGGCTAAAAGCAGAGTAAATTCTGTCCCACTCATTCCTTCAGACTTATTTCCCATCATAGAGGACACATGGGGGATGAGTAGTCACTGAGTCTGACTGATCTCAGAGCCCTAAGAATGAAGGGGAATTTGAACCTGCCATTGCTTTTGCAGTAGGTGGGGAGAGGGAGAAACACAGATGGGTGGTGGTGACTGAGTGATGGTTGGCACAGGAGTCAAGGGGAGGTGTCTAGTGGGTGACTAAAAAAGGAAACCTCATGCAGCAGTGGGATATTGACTTTATATGATGGACAATTTCTATACTAGTTTCAGTAGATCTGGTGTCCCTGAGGGATGCAGTAGTGCGAAGCCACAAAACAGTACCTTTAGGACTAAAGAAAGGGAGAAGGGACTTCTTTCTTAGTTCCCTGTGAAGCAGTCAGAGCCAAGTGATGAAAGGCCACAAAGCTGTGTATGACCAATGTGGTTTATTTCTGCTCCAGCCAAGCTGCTTTGGACCCTGGGTGGGGGAAGTAGCCTCAAGCTGATCCAGTCATTGCAGCTTCCTCAGATCTAGGTGTGGTAGGTAATAGCCCAGGCGGCGGCGCTGTACTTCATAGTCTCCCTCCTTCTTCCGCACACAGATGGTGACCTGTGAGGGTGAGGAGAGGGCATCAATTGACTGGTCAGCTGCCCAAGGGTGGGCAACTGCAAGCAGGAGTATGTGGGCAAAGCCACAGGAGCAGCATGCTCCCTATGTCCCTCTCCTTTCTTTGTGTTTCCAATTAGTTGCCTCCTGTAGTTCTTTTCCTTTCCCTCTTTCTTCTTCTCATGATCTCTTTCACTTCTTCCCTCATCAGGTTTGTTCTTAACTTTTCTACCTCTTTTCCTGTAGTGGTGTTGTTAGCTGCCTCTGATTGGCTCTGACTCATGGCAGCCTTACGTATAACAGAAGGAAATTTTGCCCCAACCTGTGCCATCTCCATGATCTTTGATATGTTTGAGTTAATTGTTGAGTCTATTGTGTCAATCCATCTTATTGATGGTTCTCACTGACCCTCTACTTCACCAAGCATAATGTCTTTTTTCTGGTGATTGTCTTTCTTGATGACGTGTCCAAAGTAAGTGAACCAAACTCTTACACCCTCACCTCTTACTCTGATACCCCTTCATATTCTTTCTCTCTCTGTCTCTTTCCTCCACCTCCCAACCTTTATTGATGTATAATTGACATACAATAAACTGCACATATTTAAACAATTTGATAAGTTTTGATTGTGGTCGAACCATTAACACAGTCATGAAAATGTATGCCCATCATCCAAAAGTTTCATCATACCCCTTTGTAATTCCTCCTTCTCTGCACACTGCACCCAAAGTTATCTTCATTTCCAGGCAAACACTGATCGACCACCTGTCAGTGTAGATTAATTTGTATTTTCTAGAATTTTTTAAAGGCTGGAATCATACAGTATGTGCTCTGTTTTATGTCTACCTTCTTTCACCCAGCATAATTATTTGGAAGTTTACCCATCTTGTTGCATATATTAATAATTCATTTTTTATTGTTATATATTATTTTATGGTACAATATACCAGTTCGTTTATGTATTCATCTCTTGATGATATTTATGATTTTGTCAGATTTGGGCTATTACAAATAAAGCTGGTATAAACATTTCTGTCTAATACTTTGCATAGACATATGCTTTAATTACTCTCTTTTTTTAAATTGTGATTTGGTTGAAAGTATACAGAGCAAATTCACTTTCCACACAGCAGCTCACCTACATTTGTCTGATGACAATGACTACTATTTCCCACAATGCAACAGCTCCCCTCCCACTTCCTCTCCAGAGTTACCTCTTTCCTGTGTCCTTCCCTCCATGCACTCCTGCCCCCTGAGCTGTCTCCCTGTTCATACACAGCCCTTTTATGCTTTAATTACTCTTGGGTGAATTTCTAGTAGTAGAATTGGCTGGGTCATATGGTAGATTTATGTAACTTTTAAAGAAACATCCAAGCTATTTTCCACTAGCACTATTTGAGAGTGCCAGTTGCTTCACTTGCTCATCAATACTTGTTATAGTCAGCCTTTTAAAATTTAGCCATTCCTGTGGGTAGTGATATCTCTTTGTGGTTTTTATTTACATTTCCTTAATGACTAATGTTGTTAAGAAATAAAAAGGTAAGCCACATAGACTGGGAGAAAATATTTGCAAAGTATATACCCATTAAAGGATTTGTATTTAGAATATATAAAGAATTTCTAAATCAATAATAAGAAAACTAGCAACCTTCCCTCACTTACCAGGAAACAGCAGATCAGGCAGGTGATGAGTCCCAGGAGTCCTGCCAAGCAGATGAGGATGATGGCCCAGAAGGGGAGGTCTGGAGAGACAAGTGCTAGGGTAAGCCACCTCCTTTTATCTCCCCCAGGGCTCCTACTGAGACCCTGGGAAGCCTGAGATTGGGCATGGGCCCAGAGACGAGATCTTGGTGGTCCAATCACCTCATGGCTCTGAAGCTCCAAATGAGTAGGCTCCCCAGCAGGCCAGGACTCCCACTGTCCCCTCACTGTGCCTCATCAGGCCTTCACATGGGTTAGCTAACAGTCATCATTATCAGAGACCCTGTGTGCCTGTTGCTCCAGGATGGGCACAGTATCAGAATGTCCCTCCCCACCCTGGGCTGGGGCTTCTCTGAGTCTTATACAAACAAACAATTGCTATTAAGTCAATTCCAAGTCATGGTGACACCGTGTGTCAGAGTAGAACTGTGCTACGTAGTTTTCAATGGCTGATTTTTTGGAAGCAGAGCACCAAGACTTTTTTCTGATGTGTTTCTGGGTGAACTTACACCACCAACCTCTCAGTTAGCATCTGAATGCTTTAACCATTTGCACCACCCAGGAACTCCCCTTTGAGACTTACCAGCATTCTTAGTCAAGACCTCATGTCTGTTGGGAGAATACCCTGAAAATAAATGAAAAGGAGAGTGTGTATGTGTGGGTTTTGTTACAGTTTTTTTAAAAACTTTGTCAATATACAGAAAAATAGAAAGCATATAATGAGCATCCATCATCTAGATTTAACAATTGTTAACATCTTTGCAACATTTGCTTCATTTCATTTTCACTGAACTGTTAGTCAAGCAGACATCGTTATATTTCTATGCTCTACTTTGTCTCTGGTGTGAGCTTTGTTATTTCCCTCCTACTGGTAGTTTCAGGCTTGGTTTGCTCCTCTTTTTCTAGTTCTTGAAGCTGCAGAGTTAGGTTATTGATCTCAGATCTTCCTTCTTTTTTGATGCAGGCATCTACTGCTATGAATTTCCCTCTGAGTATTGCCTTCGGTGCATCCCATAAGTTTTATGGTATTACCGATTTCTTTGTTCCATATGATTTTCTGTGCTGACCTTGTTTTGTTTATGAATTGTGTTATCACTTCATTTGTTGCTGTTGCTTTAATATTTGCTAAATAATTGTGCTTGTCCTTTTTTATACTGATGTGAAGGTTTATCATTTTTCTTTGAGGTTACCCTGTGATTTATTATTTTCTTCCAAAATTTAGAACTGTCTGTTCTATCTTGCAATTGTCTCAACTTCCTCACCATTTAGAAGTTCTGTAACTGCACAATTTTTCCCTCTTTTTGGTTTGTAGTTGTCCTCATTTGCCAATGGATATCTCTGGTTCCCTGTTTACAATCTTGTAGGCTTATTTACTTTGGATACTTTCATAACTGGGTTAGTTTCTGGGTTATGTCATCATGTGTGTTAATGGTTGGTAGTTGTTTGCTGTTGTTGTTTCTTTGTCCAAAGGACTCCCATTAGCATCTCTTGTAAGGTTGGTCTGATTTTAACAAATACTCTTAATGTCTGCTTATCTGGAAATGTTCTAATTTCACCATTATATTTGAGGGAAAATTGGCATAGTGCCTAAGGCATTTGACTGCTAACCAGAAGGCTGGCGGTTCAAGCCCACCAGCCACTCCTTGGAAGGAAGGTTGGGCAATCTGCTTCTGTAGTGATACCACCTCGGAAACCCAAGGAGGGGTCGCTATGAGCCGGGTCCGACTCGACGGCACATAACAACAACAACAACATAATTCTTGGTTGGAAATTTTTTTCTTTCAGGGTTTTATATATACCATCCCATTGCCTTCTTGCTTGCATGCTTTCTGCCAAGAAATCAGAGCTTAGTCTTATTGGTTGTCCTTTGCAGGTAACTTTATGTTTTTCCCAAGCTGCTTTCAGGATTTTTTCTTTGTCTTTGGTTTTGGTGAGTTTGATGATGATATGTCTTGGTGATTTTCTTTTGGGGTCTATCCTATTTGGGGTTCGTTGGACTTCTTGAATGGTTATATTCTTGTCTTTCATCATATCAGGGAAATTCTCTTCTAAAAAATCTTCAACAATTTTATCTGTGGTTTTATTTGTCTCTTCCTGTTCTGGAATTCTGATTACATGTATGTTATTCCTTTTGATGGTATCCCATATGAACCTTAGGCTTTCTTCATTTTGTTTTGATCCTTTTTTCTGATTGATCCCTTTCCAAAGAAATATCGAGATATTTGTCTTCAATCTCACTAATTCTGTCTTCCATTGATTTAATTCTACTCCTTTGCCTTTTCAATGTGTTACCTGTTTCTGAGAATTTATTATTAATTTTCTGCATTTCTATCTGTAGATTTTGTCCCATTTCTAATTTTTCATTTATTTTGTTCTTGTATTGTCTTTCAAAATTGTTCTAGGGTTTTCTCTGTGTTTTCCTCAATTTTGTCAGTATTTTCCTTGATCAGTCTCTCTATTGTTGAAGGTACCTAAATGTAATTCTTTTGAATTCCTTATCCAGGAGTCCCAGTGCTGCTTCTTCCTCAGGGATGTGTTCTGGGTCTGTATCTTGGTCCCTTGTTTCTACTGCTTTATTTTTCTTCTTTGTGTGGACTGTGATGGTGTGTTGTCTCTGAGACATTGTGACGTTTTTGTTTATATTTAATTGGTGATTGTATGTTGGAGTGACTCACTCAAGATTTTAGTTTTCTTTGTTTTGTTTGGATGTTAGCTGAGTAAGCAGGGTACTGTGCTCCTCTATTCACTAGTTGGCAGCACTTAATGCACTCACCACCTGTCTCCTTTCCAGTCATCAGCCTCCCGTATGTCCATACTGTCTTTGGCAGGCAGAACCTATTCTTAGATCCTTGGAATCTGAACGAGAATGCTGTCACTTTAAATATCCAAAACGGCTACCACTTGTAAACATTCAAAATGGCTGTGCCCTCCTGACAGCCGAAAGTCCACAACTTAATTTGTCTCCTTCTTTGCTGTTTCCCTTTTTAGTTGTCAGCTACTTGTGCAGTAGTCAGTGCAGCCCTTGATGAGCAGGGCTGATTTTTAGGTTAATTCTCAGGTCCTAACACCACTTGGAAATATTCAGGCTGACTGTGCTGTCAGGACAGCTGACAGTCCACAGCTCCTTTTGTCTCCTTACTCCTTACTTTGAGTTGTGCTGCTGGTGAAGAATGCTGAAAGTACCATGGACTGCTAAAAGAACTAACAGATCTGTCCTGGAGGAAGTGCAG